TGTGTTTGTCGGGAAAATATTTAACTTGGCCCTCCTCCCCTCCCCCCCCCCTTAAAACATGGGACCCAAGACGGATGTTGTGACCATTTTGTGTGTAGTTATGTCTCCCCAGCGCCGGAGTGAACGCCTGAGCTGGCGTTTTGTCCTCAGCAGTCAGTATACTTTGTGCCTGGTACGAAATTCATACTTATTGGTATAAAAAAATATACATTGCACATCATTCACTCAATTAATAATTTTGTTACGACTAGTGAGCACATCCGTGCCGTAAATCATGAGGACGAGTACAAAGGCAGGAAAACCATGACTGAAGGGAAAACGTGCCAACATTTAAAAAAAAAAAACACTTAAAAGTTGTTCTAGAAAGCGCTTGCCATGAGAAGTTTTTAAAATAATAAATAAAGCTTTAATTAAAGACTAGCAATAGTTTTTAACAATTGTGTTGTACAGTGTATATATAGGCATCATAAACTGAAACTGAAAGTGTGAAAGATTACACACTTTATTATAGCCCGTTTAACATACAGTATAGCCAGATGTCTAAAAAATAAATGGTGAACCTTTAGAAATTCGTCTTATTGTTATGATTTGAATGCCTGAGTCCTTTACTGAACCTATGGGTGTGTAGACATAGAGATTATAAATAACACTAGAGGAGGCATTGTAATCTTAATTCAGTAAAAAAAAGGGAACGCGACTATTGGGGGGCAAATTCAAGTCCCGGATGTGTATTCGTGTTCCTATTGGTGACGAGTTTCAAATCAGCCAATGAGAGCACGATTTTATATCCGGGACTTGAATTTGCCCCCCATTAGCTGCGTTCCCAATTTTTAAACTCGATGCCTCCTCTAGTGTTATTTATAATCTCTATGTGTGTAGACACATGCAATTAGCCTTTCTCACGCCGCCATTTTTGGACCGGCTTTTCAGCCGAAGTCTGCGAGATAAGTCCACAAAACAGCGACTTCTTATAATTTTTTGGAGACTTCTAACAGCGACTTCTTATAATTTGCTTTGTAAATGGTTAGTTTATTTTGAAAAATTGCTTTTTACATTGTTTTATTTACATGCATTGGTTAACGAGAATTAAATGCCACTCAAAAATGGCGGATATTCGTCATCGAATTTTATGCATGGGAAGTAATTTAAAGTTTTTGGTATCGTTCAACATATGAATATGATTATGTGCTGATTAATTTAACTCTGTATTCTAAACTTGAGTGTTTACAACAAAAGGATGATTTCTAAAGGTTCACTTTTTGGGACTGTTGATACGTCGAATTTTTGTCACGTCGAATGCAATTTAAATAATAGATAATGAGATGATAACCTCATTAGCTTCATTATTATACATTGTAGTTTGTAAAAGCAATTTGATTGACTAAGAGCTTACAGTTAAATCGCGCAATCATGCAACCTACAGAAAATTCAGGCAGATAACTGAGTTATCTGCAAATGGACCTGCCGATGATTAGCAAGCGGTATCTATTTAACACAAACAAATGCATAGTAAAACAATTATTGAATTCGGTTTTGCGATATGCAAAATTAACAAGGTCTCGGTAAGCGTTATCTCGATCGACCTTGATAATCAGCCGCATATCACAAAAACCTCATCCAATAATTGTTAATTATCGATTGTTTAAATTGCATTCGACGAGACCGAAACTCGACGTATATAAAACAGACCTTAAACACCCTGTACATGTCCAATGCAATTATGCAAAATCAAATACCCAACGTAACCGTAACGCACAGTATGGCGTAGCATTTTCTTTTGTTTAGTGAAGTCATTAGTTCCATGCACTCTAGTGCTCAGGAAACAAAGAAATATGCTACGCTTCGATACGATTGATGAAGTGGAAAACGTGCTTTTAATTATATACAGGGTGTCTCAAAAAACCCCAAAATCATTGAAATTGACGTATTGTTCGATATTCAATGCCCTAGCACTAAGTTAATCCCACGAGTGCATAAAAGATTGACATAACTGCTATAATGAATGGTAATACTCAGCGTAAACTTGTTATGTCAGGCATAAAGTACTAAACCCACGAATGCATATTACGCATATTACAATTTACGAAGCATTTTTAAATTCCCATGAGCAAACAAACGTTCACTTTACAAAGATATTTTAATTTTTTAAAACAAATTAATCACCCTGTCAAAATCCTTTGTGTTACGGCATTGAAATTCGAACAATACGTTATTTCAATGATTTTGGGTTTTTTTGAGACACCCTGTAGAGAATGTACAGTACAGGAAAGTACAGGGTGTCCCCCAAAACCCCGAAACTATTGAAATAACGTATATTGTTATAGAATTTGAATGCCTCAGTACTAGTGCTTTGCTGAACACACAAGTGCATCAAAACAGTTGACATAAGTAAATTTTAATTATGCATAAAGAAACTGTTTAAGAAGCTGCTTTAAATTCCGAAGAGCAGAAAATCGTGGCGCTTTACAAAAGATATGAATTTCTTAATAAGTCAATATTTTCAAAATATATGCACCCTGCCAATATTTACGCATCTTTGCGTTCATCCGTAGTGTTAGGGCTTAATATGCTAGGGCATTCAGGTTTTTTTGGGACACCCTGTATATAGTTCGAGATAACCTGCATGGGAAATTCTTCAACGTCAAGCCGCCCAAGGCCAGGAAAAAATTAATTCAAGAAAACGAGGGGTTCGTAACCGAGTTCGATATAACCGAGAAAAATAGCCAGTATATGGGAAAATCCACGGAAATGGGTTTATTTCGGGATGACGGAAGTTCGAGATAAACGAGTTCAAATGTGTTTTGTATGCAAGCTGCAGAGCAATAAAATATAATATCTTAGCTTCTCTGCTACAGCGGCTACGATAACAACGACTGAATTTCCAAGTTACTTCCCAGTGCACTGCCATGCAGTTGTTTTAAACTAATCAGCTGAACCGCGACTGAAAAGGTCGCATTTAATTTATCGGAATACAGTTTCATAACGAAACAGACAACACTGAAAGCATCGGCGGAATCTTAACTATAAATCACGCTAAATTACGAGCTAAAAATATCAATAATTTACTCACCTTGCTGACTAGTCCTGCTTGAATATAAACGCTGTCCTTTCTAATAACTGCTGGATTAAGTCCAAGTGTTGGTTTGGCTGTGCCTGGAGCAAGAGTAACTGAAAGCTCACGCAAAAACAACAAAAGATCGACGCCGATGCTGATGATATCAACGCATCCAGACATTGATCAAAGAAAACAGTAATAAAAAATCTATTCTCAAACAAAGAAAATTCAAAATTCCATGCATGACGAACCATTAATTGCATCGGATGCATGCACTTTGCAGTGATGATCTATCAAACAATTTGTTTTATGTAATATTGTTAAAAGAATAACATAATTGTAAGCGAAATCTACAGAGTATACAGGGTGTCTCAAAAAAACCCAAAATCATTGAAATAACGTATTGTTCGAATTTCAATGCCGTAACACAAAGGATTTTGACAGGGTGATTAATTTGTTTTAAAAAATTAAAATATCTTTGTAAAGTGAACGTTTGTTTGCTCATGGGAATTTAAAAATGCTTCGTAAATTGTAATATGCGTAATATGCATTCGTGGGTTTAGTACTTTATGCCTGACATAACAAGTTTACGCTGAGTATTACCATTCATTATAGCAGTTATGTCAATCTTTTATGCACTCGTGGGATTAACTTAGTGCTAGGGCATTGAATATCGAACAATACGTCAATTTCAATGATTTTGGGGTTTTTTGAGACACCCTGTACAGTGTGTATAAAAAGGGTGTATAAAAAAAAACGCAACCTCGGAATTTCCTAAGAAATCACTTTGCAATTCTTAAGCATAAAAGATTTTAGGCCCCTGGGAATTGAAATCGAATTGCTAATAGATCATATTACTGTTGTCGTGCATTAAATAAATGCATAAATTTTGCTTTATGCACTCGCGTGTGCAGTAATTTTGATAGTTGTGCTATTTTAAATTCCCAGGCGCCTAAAATCTTTTGTCTTTAAAACAATGTCGATTTCTTGGGAAATTCCGAGGTTGCGTTTTTTTTTATACACCCTGTAGAAACAATGGTATCAATAGACAATGATGCCCTGAAAGATCATCCTGGATCCAGCGATGTGAATCGAAAAAAACAGATTCCAGCCGATTCCTCCTTCCCCAAGGGATACTTTAAGGTCAACAGGGTGAATCGACGAGTAACGATATTCAACATTTGTGTGTATGCATGTGGCTTTTTCAGGGCCGTACGCAGGATTTTTCGCCAGGGGGCAGTAATTAAAGGCCTATATGTAAGAGTTAAATACCGAGAACGAGGGATGTATATATATATGCTATATACAGCCCCGAGGGCGCGCAGCGCCCGAGGGCTGTATAGCATACAGCCCGAGTTCGAGGTATTTAACTGTCTTATTTTTCACCCTGCTCGGTTTCCTTTGTTCTTATCGGGGAATATATTCGATATTCCCCTCTAATCAACTAATTAATAATCCCCTCTATAATATTCACCTGCAATGTCTTCGCAGCACAAAAAATGAGAAAAAAACAACATAACGAAGGCAATATGGCATTAAGAATTATTTCTACTCTGACTCATTAATGAATTAATTAACGCGACCTCGCAATGTGAAAAATACGTACGTTATTTTGAGGCACCTCGGGGATATGTGTTTATATCCCCTCGTTGCCTCAAAATAACCTATACTTATTACACGATTGACGCGGTTTTCTCAAAAGAATTTAAGTTTTTGTTTTTATGTTTTGATTAAGTAGCTTTGGATTATTCTTTTGTACTTATTTCCATGGGTAGGAGATAATTTTAAACGCTTGGGTAATGATGAGTTGCATTTACGAGAGAAAACAAGTAAGTGTTGGATAAGTGAAAGATTAAAACATTCTCAGAGGAACGATTTGTTCAGGTGAATAAAATTTGTAAGGATGTTTATGTAAATGTATGTTTTGAGGAAGCACGTTGTGCTGCAAAAATTTGTTCAAGGTGAGGCAATTGCGTACAGCAGCAATGAAAATGATTTAAGTGGGTTAACTCAGAACGTCTTTTGCGAACAAAGTTCCCTGCCTGAATCGAATGTCTTTATAGTGACATTTTCGACAGCGAATGGTCGAATTTGGAAAACGAACATACATGAGTACCTGCACAGTATAGAAGTCTATGCCAGCATGGGATAAATCTATCAAACGGCTCAAGGTACGTAATCAACGATTGCCATGTACAAAATCAGAGACAAGTTGTAAATTTTCATCTTATGGCGCAGACACGGGACTCGCAATTGATTGAAACATCCAGATTCTAGATTTTGTGAGTCGAATAACAAGATAACTATTTATAATTTATTTACATATTCGACATATTAAAACTTCGATCATTTATGCAAAATCTGCTAAATCTGCCTCAGTTATAGTAATAAAACTGTACTATATAGGGTAACCGTTAAAATAAATACACTTCAAAGTAGAATGGGGATTATTTCTTGGATAATGCTGTAAATAAACTGAATATGTACATGTGCGCCTGAACTCGTGACGAGCAGTGGAAGAACTTCAACCCCTAAACCATTTCAGTTTATTAGAATAGTCAGATTCAACATTCAATACCATTTATATATGGCACATCAAAGTTCTTAAGATTGCTTGCGAGGGCACATGCATGCATGCTCGAATATTTGTAATATTCTCAAAATACAGCTGCATAAGTGCTTTTTTAACTGCGGTATTTCTCAATAACCTGAATGAGCTAGCTCTGAATGACGAGCTTTGAATTGTTTAGCCTGATGTGTTATAAATAGCTAGCCCGTTTCAGACGTCGAACTTTTCATGTGCCGAAGCATTAAAAACAATAGATAATCATCTGAACTGCCCCTGTCATTATTTATTGTCTTTAACGCATTCGGCACATGAAAAGTTCGACGTCTGAAGCGGGCCTAACTCCTAATGATCAGTTTTATTAGAATGTTGTTGCGTTATTAAAGCTTGGTTCTCATTAATCGCCGATGTTCTACGATCCATTGTCGGTGAGCAACGAAGAAGATTTTGCACAAAGCATTTTATGCATCAATGACGACCGACAATGGGCATCGCCTATGTTTACGATAAATGAGAATCAGGCTTTATGCCTGGTTCATGCACACTGGTGGTAAGAATCGGGGATTTCCATTGTGTGTGGTCATTGGTGTGTAAAATGCTTTGTCCATCGGAAAAGAATACAATAGATCGCTGATAAATTACGACCAGTGTGAACCAGGCTTAAGGCCGAGACGCATGCACCGGACGCGATTCGACACACCTATTAAGACCGAGACACACCGGATGCAATTTTCAGTTTTTGAACTAGCTAATAAAACAGTCTAAGAAAGGAAATTTTAAAAAATATGTAGACCAAAATGTAATAGCGCCTCTAAATATTTGAAAAACTTAGACCAGGATCAAAGTTATTGGTCAGTGAAAATCGAAAAATCACGCCGCGTTGTCGAATTGCGTTCGGTGTCTCTCGGCCTTGAATCATAAATTGTCTACAATTGCGAGCATGAAACGGAGAATTTAAATTTTTATTGTGTGTGCAAATTGACTTAAATTCACACAAATGACACAATATAAGGTTTTAATAATTTAATTATTCAACCACCACAGCGACACACTGATTTGTTTTAGCTCTACACCCGTATATAACTATATATAAGTATTCAAAACAAATCTAAGACAACCAATGTATGAGTTGTTTTAACCAGTTCGTTTTCACTATATAGTAAAAATAATTATGACAATCTGATTTATCCTCTTTTTTCTCAGGGGGTAACTATTAAGTTGATCTACGCACTTGTAAAACCCACTTACTAATAGTATAACTAATAAAACTATGGGAAATCATTAGCATTCAAAACATAGAAGCGGTTTTAATTAACAAACATTTCTTGTTTCCAACTCCACCAGAATACCATCAGTTGAGGATAGAATTGAATCTGCAGTTATTCTGATGTTCTCGGTAATCTGAGTTGACTTAATATTAAAATGACGGATTATTGATGACAAGACCACTTTCTCTTCCATCATTGCAAATCTTTGACCTGAAATTTATAATAATAATTGATCAGTATCATGAACGTTTTGCGCTATAACCCAAATTTTAAACACATGTCCTTATGTTTCGAGCGAGGATAACAAACTCGTATCTAGCTGATAAATAACTTACCAACACAATTTCTTGGTCCTGCAGAAAACGGGACATGTGCAAACGGATTTCTTCCTGTGACGTTGTCTGTCAGAAATCTGTTAGGATTGAATGTTTCAGGTTCGTTCCAAACACCCGGATCATGATGTAATGGCTTGAGAATCATCGACAATCCACACCCTTTTGGGATGAAGTAAGGACCTGCAGGAAATTATGATAACGTACATATTTAGATTTATAGAATGCGTGCTAATAAAATATTTAGTATCCAAAAGATCATAGATCTAAAAAGGGTATTCAGTCTCATCTTGCAAACACCAAAACGTCTTAAAATGGAAAAACCGTTTTGTAGCGAGCTTCCTGTATATATTGAACACTAGTGCCGCGTAATTATGTCATCCTCAAGGCTGATTAGATTCATGTGGTGATGTCTATCACTTTTCATCAAACCATGCACATAATAGGGAGTTTAAGCTTCGCGTTTCCGTGAACGGCAAACGGCAGGTTCGAACTTTCTTCGCAAAATTTTCGTTAAACGTTTTCGATTCAAATTTTCTTTCTTGTGTCGAAAGAATACTCATGCATTGCAGTTTTAAAACAGCAAGTTCATTTACTCTTTATTGCCTGATACCGTAAAATTTTTCTTTGCCTGGCGTTTGCCGTTTGCCGTATAACGCGAAGCTTAAACTCTCTAATATTGCGTAATTCTGCAGTTAAATGCCACTATTTAGAAATGTATTATGTTTCACCATTTACCAATATACATATTATAATTTTTGCCCGCCACATTTTCCCGCCAGCATGCAAAATATTTTTTCCGCCAGACGCGACAATTGAGGATGCTCAACCATTTCGTAATTTGCGAATAAAACTTCCAGAGAAAGAAATCATAGAACGCTTCCGTGACATCTTCTGAGAGAATTTGAAGGAATTGGACAAACCCCGAGCTTAACAAAAGCCAGCATTCATGCACCCGTTATCTGATAACACTAACACTATTTAATAAAATCCCTGGTTGTACTGTCTACTACAGGTACACAGGAGCGGTGTATTTTCCCCACCGTGGCCGTTCCGGGCGTAAGCCCGAGTGCCGTTCCGGGCGTAAGCCCGGGGCGAGGGTACTAATTCCGACCGGTTATTTACACCCGGGGAAAGGAACGCACTAACGAAGTCTAAAGTTCATCAAATATCGCGGGCGCATGACTCACCGTTCATGGGTGGTCATCCCAACTGGAAGGCTAAGTCAGGGGGAGTTGAAGCCGTGCTTGAAGCTTTTTTTGTAGGTAGACCCAGTCCTTTTTAAATTTTTTTTTCAAAATATGCACATTTTTCAATCAGAAAAATCTTGCCCCAAAATATTAGTTATACTACCAAATTTAATTTATATCAGTAGTATTATAAATGAATTTAATATTCGCAAAGCAAACAAATCACGAATTAGCAAACAAAATACGAAAAAACACGGCCATAAGCTTGAACGGTCAGAAAAACCACGCGTTTAAGGCTGCTTTTTCTGAGTTTTTGGAAGTTTAAGATAAAACTAAGACGTCATACCTCAGGAATTATTTAAACCCATGCAAAATACATCTGTATGCGAAGTTTCAAGAAGATTGAACGTTTTAAGGTCGAAAAAAAGCATTTGAAAATTGACAAAAATATTGCCATATTCAAAATGCTCATAGTGGCATAGGCAGCCCAGCAAAATGTGTAAAAATGCATTAAAAGCTTAAAAATACGTATAAAGTTCGTCTCAATTTGCTACCAAGCGATTTATTTGTGTAGCTCATTATACATGCAGATTCCGATGTTTACGTCATTGTATTTTCATATAGTATATTATCCTAAGGCGGGCAACTCTTTTACAAAATACATTTACACACACTAATACGTTCGCTTCAAACAACAACAAAAACCCCTACTTTCTGAAAAAAACTAGATACAAAACACCTTGGATACTTTTTCTAACTTTATTGAAACTTTTTAGAGTTGAAAAAAGTTTAGAAGTATTTAAATTTCATGGATAAAAAGTGGGTTTTTATCGAAATTATTTTGTCGATAGGCGGGATGCAAAATGCACGACAAACGTCATCATCGGAAAAATCATCGGCTTATTGCTTATTGGCTGTTGAAAAATCGGCAAATTCCGAATATAATATACTTCAGTCAATGTACTTTCTTCGGAATTTGCCGATTTTTCAACAGCCAATAAGTAATAAGCCGATGATTTTTCCGATGATGACGTTTGTCGTGCATTTTGCATCCCGCCTATCGACAAAATAATTTCGATAAAAACCCACTTTTTATCCATGAAATTTAAATACTTCTAAACTTTTTTCAACTCTAAAAAGTTTGAACAAAGTTAGAAAAAATATCCAAGGTGTTTTGTATGTAGTTT